TTTTAGAGGTGGAAAATACAGAAACAAAATGATGTATTATTCCAGTGCCATGTTCCATGTTGTTTATATCTGCTTGTTAGCTACAGCTTTTGAAGCCTGGTTACCACAGCTGTGCATCTTTTCTCTCTTCAGTTGGTCTTAAACTATAACTGTATGCATGTCTGAGAAGTAAGAATGGTTATCTAGGGTTTTAAATACTGGAGTTATTTACAGCTTTTCATTATAAAATCAATTAAAAAGTCTAATTTGAATATCAGCTATAGTCTTTACTGTAGTTGATATTTTTATTATAGAATATGGTCTGCCCATGTTATTCATAACTATCTAAATTCATTTTGAAATAATTTAAGTCAAGTAAACAATGAAAAGGGATTTTTGAGAGGAAGATGGAGTGTATCCTCTGATGGATTTCTGAGGTAAATATAATCAAGCTGTGGTCCTACATTGGTATTTTCTGCATTTCAGTGTTTACACAGAGTGAAGGGATTAAGTTAAGGCTGACCTAATTGTAGTCTTATTTAAATATTTCCTATAATACCAAATTCTGAACTGTTGTGTTTAACCAGTGTACTTGGATTTTATGGTTAACATTACTGATGATGACCCATAGTTGGATGTTGTTATGGGTCAGTGAAAACCAAAGTTATGAATCTTCCACTCCAAGGTGCATGTGTGCATTCTTCCTTTCTTTTCAAGATAAACTTGCTAATTAGATTTACTTTGAGAAAAGACACTTTCTTGTCATCTTTTGCAACTTAAAACATCCTCTGCTGGAGGTTCCTCCTGTACCTTTCTTTCATTCTTCAGTCTAGACCTTGGGCTTTTCATCTGTTGTTCAGTCTGTGGACCCCTTGCTAAAGATGCAGTAAATTCTGGTTTATTTGCCTCACCAAGGGGAATGGGAATAATGGCAAACTATCCAGTAGTGACCAATTATCAGGAGTAGGTAATTGGGAGGGAGGTGGCAGTGCTGGCAGGAAATTGGAACAACAGTGAATTAAATTGGTTAATTATCCCACAACATAATTGGCCAGAGTACTGTACAGTATTAAAATCCAGTAGTAGAACTACTTTACAAGGCATCACTGTATTTCAGCTGGTAGCAGATGGCATCCTTGGTGTTGTGCTACAGAGCTGTTGTGGAAGCTGCTGCCTTTGGGTGCATGAGAGATCTCTTGTGTGACATCATTGTCTTGCTCTGCATGAAGAAGTGATACCCCCACCCTCTTCTCGGTTTCTCTTACCATGGCTGTGAAAAGCTTGCATTTCTATCCTTGGCCCAGCTCTTTCCTTTGCCTAGTTTTTACGTTCGTTAGAGTAGCATAGAATAACTTATATACTTATATACGACAACCCTGTCTCAACAGGCCTTTGTCTCACTGGGGCCATATTGAGCCCTATAAAGGCTTCTACTACCAGTCAGGGTTAGACGTCCCTACTGGGGTCAGAAATTCAGCAAGTGAAAAATCTGTGGTCATATTTAGCCTTGCAGCACACCACTAGGTGGTGCTGGCCATCTAATTGATTTTTTCCTTGAAGTGAACCCTACAGATTCATGATTTATATCAGATTGAAGAAAGGACTTCTTAAATTTAGAGTAGTAGTTATAGAGGTTTGATCAAATTTGCCTGAATACCAACCATCCTATTGCCAATATATGCTTGTTTAGCTACCGTGACATTTTTGTGCTTTGTCCAGTCTTGTTTTAGATCTCATCTGCCTTTTAAATTTTGGACAGGCTAACTGATCATGTTAGAAGACAGATTTTCCTGAGAATCAGACTAATCCTCTCCTTTTTAAACAAAGTATGTTTAATATAATATTGTTGAAGACTGTTTTCCATGCTGAAAGAGAGAGAATTTTTGCTTCCCAACTGCTTTAACAGCATAAAATTTTATCATACTAAAAATTTCAGAGACTAATTTTAATATTAATAGTATAAGATTTAAAGCTTCTAATTAGAAGATGGTGTCAGCAGACCTTAGCTGTGCTCTGCAGTGAAATACAACATCCATTTAATTAAGTTCTTTTATTATTTGGGGTCCCAAGATGCATGAACTGGACTTGTAATACCTGTTGGATTTCCTTTGCCCACTTACATTTTTATATGGCAGAGCTGAAGCTGCTTAGATTCTTTTACTTATCCTTCCATATTTAAATGTATTAGGATTTCTTTTAAATGTAACTGTATCTATTTACATTTTTATAAACAAAAAAACTAGAACGCTACAATAAAATAAACTTAATAACTTAGAACTAAAATAAATATATACTGTTGATTTTAACTCTGAACACACATACTTTGGGGAATTTTCTTGTTTTAAAATTAATAAACAGAATATCACTGTTTTATATTTTTAGTAATGTGATTATACCTAGTATCGAACTTAAATCATTTTTAAGTTACCGTGTGTGGCCAGATTCCCCAGTATGCCTTATCTAGTCTATACTCCGTTTTCCTTGAGGGCAGCTTAGCTTCACTTCTGGAAACAATGAGTGCTGCTGGTGACCATTTGGAAAGAACCCTCTTTCATTCCAGATGTTTATCTGTCCATTCATTGAAAACAGAAGGAAGCTACTGCTTTGAATGAGAATAAAGTTACTGACATGTTCAAAAATCAGTTACATTTTTTGTAAATTAAATTCAATTATCAATTAAGTGTTCAGTCTGAGGATTTTTTCAGGCAGTAAAAACAAGGGAAGCATACTATGTTTTATGTTGTGTGATTTTGGAAATGTTAATCAGGGACTTTGCAGAGTAGTTCTAGTCTAGTTAGGAAAAAACGGTTTAAATTCTTAGAATTCTCAAACAAAAATAAATTTAAAGAGTTGCTCTACCAACATTTAGAAGAACGTGACTGGTACATTTTGTTACTTAAGCTATTGATATGGGACTCCTGAAAGTCTGATGTAAAATGTTATTTATTTGCCTTAATTTTAAATGTGTTTTGTGTTAAATCTTTATCCATATTTTTTAAGTAACATGGCAGTTTTGCTGAAAGAGACCAAAAGTATATCTAGTCATGTCCTGAGGAATTTGGTCTAGAAATGCAAATACTGTGTTTACTGGACTCCAAGACAAGTTCCCCCTACCCCCTCCTTTCATTCAGTACGGGAAAAACAAAGCCTCATCCATCTTAATATTATTGAGTATTAAACAGAAATATAGTACCTGCAGGCAGCCCTGGGTCCTGCACTAGTCTCTTGTTCCATGCTGTGTCTTACTGCTTAAGGAGCAGCACAGGGCCCAGTGTGTAGCCAGAAGGGCAAGGGAATTGGCCTGGAGCCAGGGAGCAATGAGGGACCCAGCACAAGTGTAACATTGGGGGGTGGCGAGGGGAGGAAGTAGGGGGTAGACAGTGGAGGGGCACACACCTGGGGGTGAGGAGGTAAGGGGCTGAAGTTGGTTGCTTCCCACCACTTGCCACTCTGCTGTGGTGGTGGTTGCAAACAAATTTAAGACAACCCTTCAAAAATTAGATTGTGTATATATAGAAAATTATAAGACATTTATAGCTTTCCATTTATAGTATCTAATTTTTGGAGGTCTGCCTTAAATTTTAGGGGTGTTGTAGGGTATGCATTTAATATGCTTACTATTTTGCTTGTGGTGAATTTGCTTGGATATAAATAGTGTATTGCTATTGTCCTATGCTTAATCTGTTTAGTTTTGTGTGTATTTAGTTTGTGAGCTTTTCAAAGCAGTGATTGTCCTTTCCAAATATGTGGAAAGTTCTTTATTTTTTTTATCTTATTTTTAGAGTTCTTTATGACAATAGGGCCAACCTTTTGGCAGTCATGCCAGAAATCAGCCCCATATACTTCCTGGGTGCTACTCCAATCCCCTTCCCTTGCCTTGTGCTCCCTGGCTGATCTGGTGCTCCTCTTCTTTCCGCTTCCTGTCTTAGCTGCCATTCCTGTTCCCTTCCCTGTCTGTCACCTGCCACTCAGAAGCTGCTCATGCCATGCATGCTACAGATTGGGCACCCCTGCCTTATGACACTGACATTTTCCAAAGTTTAGAGATACTAGCAGATCATTACATAAAAAGTCTCATGTTATTGCAGTGTGCGTATTGTGCTGTTTCCGTAAGAACTGTGTAATAAGAACATAGGGCACCTATACACATGCAGCACAACAGAGCACCTTTGCTGTAATTGTAGCATGTCAGAGCAGACTTGGTTAATCAGATCTGCTGGAGCATGGTAATTACTGCGGTCCAGCAGACTCCAGCATCTCATGTATCAGCGTCCTTGTGTTTGAAAAATGGTGGCAGGGGTGCTTTTACTAAAGCTCGTTCAATGAGTTTAAAGCACTCTCTCTGCTATTTTTCAGTGTGGTGACGCTGATGCATCAGATGCCTACTAGTCAAAAGGTTGGATCTATTTTACCAGAATTTTGAGGGGGAAGAAAAGGAAGCAATGATTTGGTGAGAACTCATCACTGTAATGCTGCAGTTCCCAGTTGGATACTGTTCCCATGCTGAGCTAAAAGTGGGTGTCTGTTTCACATTGATTTCAGCCTTGGTAGGTGCTGGCTAAAATTTGAAGCTGTCCCCTCCTCCCCCTGACTTTTCTCTGACAGGTGAAAAGGGGATTGTGCTTACGTTGTAGTTGATTTTTTTTCTGTGACTGCCATTCCTTTAAAAAACTGCAGGATACCGTGGAGCATTGTAAATGCATTGTATGATTACATTTTTGAATTGATAGCAGCTTTGCCAGAAATCCAAAATGTCAACCAATAGAATTCTTTCATAAGGTTACTTTAAAATATTAAATATCAAGTTTATATAAATCATGATAAAATGTGGTTTTGGGTTGACATACTTCATACAGAAAAATTATAATCTTTACAAAATGCATTACCCACACAAGTGCACTTATTGCAGTAAAGTTACTTTTATTAAATCATTTATCATTTTACACTTGCATATTTTGAGAGGTTTTTAAGGCTTTCAGTCTTGGTCTTTTTAAAAAACAATTTTTATTTTTCTCTTTCAGCATTATCTGCATACCAGAGGTACTACAGTTTACAATCTGACTACTGGAAGGTCTGTACATATTTGCTCCCCTTTCCCTTGCCCACCCCATTGTTTTTTACATGCTTGACCTTTCAAAGTGAGTTAATTTGTGTATAAATCTGCAAAATAGATCTGCTATTACTTCTTGTTGTGTAATACATTTAACTAGCTATTGCTTCCCCAAACTAGCAGTGTTTTGTGGAATTTTGCTTTTATTACTGCTTACTGCAGTTTTTCATCAATAAGCCCTGTTAAATATATGAGCAGGTTCAATTACTGAGAGACGTAAACCGTGTGAAAGTCTATTGCACAATGTTCAGCACCCTTTTCCTCTTCTTTTGATGTTCATGCCCAAATGTTGAATTACTCAATATTTTATTACAGAATTTATTTAGATCATGAATAAGAAAGCATCTTTTCAACAGATTCTAAAAAAATAACACTCCTTTTATATTAAGAGCTTTTATGTTACACATTTAAATTAGTAAGATTGTAAAAAATCAAAAAGTCCTCATTACTAATAGTATAGAGAACAGTGTTCTGTATGCATGTCTGTTATATGGCAAAATTTTGTAGCCGCTGATTTAAGCTCTGAGTTTAGAAAGTAGTTAGGCATGTGATTAACTTGTTAACTTTAAGCAAGGGACATAATCATATATTAACCTTTAAACACATGCTTAAGTACCTTCATGAATAGGGATGCTTTCCTAATTTCAGTCTTTAGTGCAGCGCTTCAGTTTTTGACTGAAAGTTTTCTGTAATTTTTTCTGTGATTTTTTTTTTTTTGGAATTGCATAATGAACAGAAGTGTTCATCCTGACACATGGCCCTATCTGTAATGAAATAGATTGAATGGAATGTGTTCTGCATGTGGAGAGGACAGGATTTGAGCATCCTGTTGGTATTGTGCATTATGTGCATCTAAAACCTAGCTCCAGAGGGCTCCCTGCAAGGGACCATACCAAAAAAAAAATATTGACAAATAAAATACATGTGAGAGATGCTTCTGTATGGATATGGGCCACCCCTTTCTTGTGGCCGGGAGAAACAGCTAGTTTAAGGGCTACTCATATTCTGAGATTGTACACCTAAGTCATAATGGCTAGTTCAGAACCCAGTTCAGAGTAGCTCAAGTTTCCCACTTGAGAGTTTTGCAATGAAAAGAAATTAGGAGTTCAGTTTTTTGTTGTTGTTGTTTTTTTTTTTTTGAGAATTGATAGATATTTAACTTTTTAAAAAAGTAATGTTATATTCTTTGAGATGCATTTAGTCTAGAATGACATTACTATACATTGTAAGCGCTGGAAAATTTGTTAATTATCAGTCTACTATATTCTAAAAGTCTCTGTGCTGTCAGTATCTTTTATACATAAAGTATTTTGTGATTTGGGTTATTTATTTGGCTGGTATAATAATAGCTCATTTTAGTATACATGCTGGATTATGTAATGTGCTGCATCCAGTGCTACTGTTAGAAGTAAATTTGTAAATACTTTTACTTAAGCTATAGTGGAGATCCATACAGCTAATGATAGTCTTTACAGTAAAACTTGCTTAACCCCATTTCCTTTGTTGTACAATTCTGCTTCAAGAGATTTTGACTTTGGGCAAATATTATCTTATGTTTAGTAAGTTTTGTATCTCTGTTCAACATTTTCCTTCAGGTGGCCTCTACACTTTAAACTTATGGATGCAAAATTTGTATGTCCCAAACTTGTGTGTATCACAACCCAAGGGTGTGATTTTTTTTGTTTGTGTGCGCTTCGGCACTGCTAAATTATTTTCCCGCCGTTTGTAGCTTTCTTTGCAGGGTGCATTTCTTAGCTGCAGAAAAGAAATGCACGTTGCAAGGAGTTCGCGCCATTTGTATTTAAATTCGTGCCCCACTATTGGTCAGTTCTAAATTATTCCTACGTGGTGGTTAGCGATTGGCTTGCTAGCCGTATAAGAGGCTTGAGTGGTTTCCGCCTAAGTTGGAGGACTCCACGAACATCAGGAGGAGGAGACTTCACATCTCGTGAAGATCTCTAAGCACTGCGGAGCCTATTGGACCCAGCATGAATATCAAGAAGGCAACAGGGGTCTGATCAGCCTCTCGCCTCTTCCCGTCGCCAAACGATCCCTCGACGTACCCTTCCCCGCGCACAAGAGTTCCACGGAGCCTAGCAAACTTCATGTGAGTGAATTGTGAGTGAATCCAGAGCTCTGTCCGAGTCCTTAAACTGGGACTTAAGCGAAGTATTCCTGGAAG